CTTGGGGGCCTCTTGGGCGATCTTGGGGGCTTCTTGGGCCGTCTTGAGCCGTCGGAGAGCCGAAAAGGCGCAAATGCCAAAATCCTTCAAAAACCAAGGGAAAATCAATGATTTTGGCCTCTTCGGACTCTCCTGGAGGACCTCTTGGAGGCCTCTTGGGCCGTCTGGGAGGCCTCTGGGGGGCCTCTTGGGCCGTCTTGGGCCGTCTTGGACTCTCTTGGGCCGTTTTGGAGGCCGTCTTGGACCGTCTTGGAGGCATCATAAGGCCATCTTAGCCGTCTTAGAGACCATCCTGGCCGTCTTAGAGGCATCTTGGAGGCCATCTTGGAACCGTCTGGGGCAGGAAATTGGGGAATTGAGCTCCTGGGCATCCTTTCCGGGTGGCCGGCGGGACGGGCCGAAGCCCACTGGGGAGTTCTTTTGGAAAAAGAACCAAAACCAAAACCTGAAACGTCCAGCACGCCGTGCACCCCTGCAAGCAGGGGGCGGCGGATCTAGTGGCATTCGGCCCATCCCGCCACCGTGCCTGGGTTGTGGAGGCCTCTCGGGGGCCTGTTGGAGGCAGTTTTGATGCCTCTTGGGAGCCATTTTGGGGGCCACTTGGGGCCTCTCTTTGGGCCTCTTGGAGGCCTCGTGGGCCTCTAGGGGGCTTCTTGGGCTCTCTTGGGGGCCTTTTGGGGTCTCCTGGGTTTGTCGATTCGTGTTCTCCCTCTTGGGCCCCTCTTGGGGCCCCCTTGGGCGATCCTGGGCGCCTCTTGGGCCGTTCTGGAGCCCTTTGGGACCGTCTTGGGGCCCTCTTGGGGGCCTCTTGGGCCGTCTTGGGGTGGTTTTGGGGGCCTCTGACGCCATCTTGGATCGTCGGAAGCTTGAAAACGCGAGACCAATGATTTTTGCCTCTTTGGGCTCTCTGGGGGGTCCTCTTGGTGCGCTCTTGGGGCTTCTTTGAGGCCTCTTGGGCCGTCGCCACCTTGGACGTCTTGGAGCACTCTTGGGCTGTCTTGGACGCCTCCTGGGCGTTTCTTGGGGCCCTCCTGGCCTGTCTTGGGGCCCTGTGGCCTTCGGAAAAGCCATGCGACTGAGCCCAAGAGCGCGCGAGTGCGCGCGCGCGGGAACGCCTGGGACATTTGAGAATCTGGGCCCCCAGCCCCCAGAATACGATACAGTGGAGGCCCATGCCAAGAAACACCCTGCTTGCCTCCAGGGTGCTCTGGGTTCCTTGGGTTTCGATGGTTTTGCTACGGAGAGCGCGACGTTCCCATGCAACAAATCCATGGACGTCCTGGGGTCTCAGGATTGGGTTCTTGTGGAAGGTTTCTTGTGGTCGGGCCCCTACTGTACTATAATCCCCCAGTTCTGAGTACAGAGGATGGGGAACCCTAGATGACCTGAGGACACTCCACTTCGTGCCTCGAGGCGCGGTGGCGGATAGTGCCCGCTGGGGGGGTTTCGGTGGAGCTCTCGCTACGCGCCCACGCAACTTCGGAGGGGAGTCACGACATGGCTGGATAACTGCAATGCTAGCCACTGGGGGCTCCGGTGGAGCTTCCTACAGTCAAGAAACACCCTGTTTGCCTCCAGGGTGCCCTGGGTTTCTTGGGTGTCGATGGTTTTGCTATGGAAAGCGTAACGTTCCCACCAAAAATCCATGGACGTCCTAGGGTCTCAGGGTTGGGTTTCTTTTGGAAGGTTTCTTGTGGAAGGGCCCCTACTGCATGGGGGCACGGCACGCGTGAGGCGTGTGCCGACATGGGCATGCGAAGAACAGAGGAGAGAGAAAGGATGAGGAGGAGGAAGAAGGATGATGAGGAGGAGGCGCGGGCGCTGCTGGTTCAAAGTGCGGACCCAGTGCACACAGCATGGTTTTGGGAGGTTGATTTCTCGAGAGGTCCCCAGAGGTCCTCAAGAGGTCTTCAGCACCGGGGGGAGAATCCAACCCCCATGGCCGGCGCTCACCAGACTCCCCCTTTGTGCCATTACCGGCTGGCCCTGCCCCGTTCGATGCCCTCCTCCCCTGGCGCGCTTGTGACGAGGGCGGTGGTTTCGCACGGGGGGTGCCCATGACGCGGGTGCTTCTTCCGCCCTCTTCGAGGGAAGGACTTTTACGCCGAACGTCGAAGGAGAGGTTAGGAGGACCCCCCTGAGGAGGAGCCCCCCGACGCCCCAAATCGCCCCCGATACGCAACGCAGAGCAGACACATCGAACTTCGAGGACCGGAGAGGAGGAGTTCGGGAGCCTTGAGACGGGGGTCAATGCAAACGGGATCCAGCCAGAACGCCAAATCTTGCAGGATCCTGCGAAGACCCCCTCTGGCTGACCCGGGTTAGCGAGCCGCTCGTGGCCGCGAGGCGGCCGCGCCTATTGGCTGACCCGGGTTTTCGAAGACCTGCGTTGCAGTTTTTTTTTCTTGCATTGCAGTTTTTGGTTTCCTGCTGACCCGGGTCTGGATTGACCCGGGTCAGAGGAGCCCCCCCTCCCGAGGGCCCAGCTCTGCGACGCCAG